CATTAGGAACATAGCTGAGACATTTTCCAAATCCTCACCAGTTGGTCAAATGACACCTTGATTTAATTCAATATTTAATGTACTTATGGTTATTCATATTGTTTTAGATTTGTGTATGTGCTTTGTCAAATAGAGGATGCTTACTGGGGTCTTGGCATAAATAGATTTGTTTGGATCTGGGAAGTTTTAATTTTGGTCACTATTTTTGTGAACAGTATATTTCAATTTGATTGTGCTTTCTCCAGGAGCCACCCCCAACTGAGCCAGTTTGCAACACAAGTTACATCGCCATGGTACCTGTTAGTAATGTCAGTGAGCTAACTGGGATAAATGCGTTACAAGATGAGATCATACGTATTGCTGAAGATAGAGAACTCTTTCCATCTGTTGGCAGAGATTTGCCTGAAGAGTGGGTCAAACTTGAAGTGGCATTGAGGAAGAGTAGAGAAAATGACCAGGTTCAAATTTTAATTTTTCCGCTATTAAAAATTATGATACAATGTAGGCTTGAACAGCTAGTTACTGTAAACCCATTTATTACTCCCTCCTAATGATTTCAGCAGTAATGAAAATGGTAATAAAAGATATTGACAAAGACAAGGATTTACTGGAAGAATTGGCAATATTTTCCATGAATAATGTCTTTCATTTCAAGCCAACTAAACATAGCCTTTTGTTTTTGTTCGCCTATTAGAGAGTTCCACCATTCTTGGCTTTGTCAAAAATCTTTTTCTTTTTCCCACATAACATACACTGTAAGTTATACTTAAGGGAAAAAAAGCTATCTTAATTTGAAATCTATAGAGATATTAAAGGCACATTGAAGGTAATATACTGACTTTTTTATGTAAGGAAGTCTATAAACATGTTGTGAGATCAATCGTGAAGTACTTTTTTTTATTCTGAAGTGATCTCTTCTAAAATTTACAGGTTCGTTGTATGTCTTATGAAGATTTTGAAAAGTTTGCCAGAGAACACACTGGTCTTTCTAAGATGGGATTGCGCTCAGCAGTAACATATCTAGATTCAATTGGCGAATTGCATTATTACAAGGATATTCCTTCATTGCACAAGAATGTGTTCATTGATCTTCGATGGCTGGCAAAATTGGTGAAGTGCCTTTTCCGACATGACCTGCAGGAGACATTGAACTTTGATGAAAGCTTTCAAAGGTTTGGTATGATTCGTGGGTATTTTGATGAACTCAAGAAAAACCTTATTCAGGAAGCAAGGTTGTCAAAGGCTCTCTTGAGGTAACTATCTATTTATAAGTGCTTAAGAGAAGGAAAAAATTTGTTCTGTTCTCACTCAATTTCAATTGTCTTTTTAGCAAACCATTAAGAGCAGGTGAAGGAAAGGAGAAGAAAAGACTACTGTTAAGGAAATAAAATATAACTGATGGTCCTAAATGCCTTTCTTCCTGTCATAATAACAAAAACTGCAGACTGAAGGCATGTTGGGTGAAATCTCTTGTAAAATTGCTTTATCATTGACCCAATAGACAAGAAACTTGAAGCACTGCCAAATTAGTTCTTTGCACACTAACCATAGAAGAAATGAAAGACTTTGTTTTTTTTGCTGAAAAAGATGTAATGCTGTTGAGTTGAAGGACGTTATTATTGGCTGCATGTCATAAATTAGCATATTTCTATGTTTGGTTTGGACAGTGAAAGGTTGCAACTGAATAAACTGCAGGACTTCATTGTTGTTCTATGTCAGTTAAGATAAATATTTCTGCTCAGGCCATATCATTTGACCCATGACCTTGAGTCTGGAACATGAAAGTAATGTTTTGAAAATAGTCTGGAAAAAGTCATGATTTTTGTTCTTATAAATGTGTACTAAGCCAGTAATGAAGAATTCCCCATCCTATGTTTATACAAATAATACCTTAAGTTCTGATGGTGAGAAATTACATATCATCAGAAAAAAACTTAAGGGGTCACTATTTGGTAGAAAAAATGTTCATCTCAGCAATAGGGTGAATGGTTTCATTTTATCTGATCTTTGAATTACTGCCAATTTACCTGTTTACATCATTGACTTTCATTGAAAATTGGTTGACTGATCATAATACCTCATTGCCTTTAATTTGTGGATGCACAGCACTCAGAAAAAATGTCTGCCCTCAACAGCAGGCTTGTCATTCCATATTTATTCCCTCCTCCTCTCTCACAGTGTTAGTTTTTATTGTCCCTTTCACTTCAAACATTCATGTTATTCCTGCTGAGTTCTTGCTTCTCCTTTATAGTTTAAAGGGGTCTGCTTGGCAGGCTAAAGGATTTTCTGGCAATAAACAATATTAGAGGGAAAGGAGGAAAAGGGAACACCCTAACTTGTTAAAGTGTGGGCTGTATACTTAGTTTTGCATTTTATGTACTATAGTTATTCATATTGTTTATCGAACAACCTTGCCAGTTAAAGAAAAAAAAAAAGGTGCATTTGATGTGTCTTGTCTGATTTTTCAGATGTCTCTGGGCAGAGATTGAACTAGATGAAGCCATGTTTCTCCAGATGGTCGAACTTCTTCATCATCTTGGTCTTGCATGTCGTCTGCCCACAGATGATCCTGACAACTTTAACCTTTTAGTTCCTTGGTTTTTGACTGATTATCCTGAAGAAGTTGAAGGTCTGTCAGAAAACCTGACTGATGATGAGGTGAAGGCTTGACTTCTTGTTCAGGGTGGTATTTATGAATTCAAAGAATTTGTGCACTAGGAGCTGGAGTGATAAATGGAAGAATGTATACTTGGTGGTTGTTACTAGGGTACTTTCAACCCTGGTTTTCATTAGTTTCACTAACTTCACTCTTTCACTCCCAAGATCTCAATAATTATTTTAGTAATTCACCCTACTGTCAGCCATACAACTCTTATGATGTCAGTTTGGAGAATTATCATAGGATCAACTAATAATCCCCTATGTTTCTTCATTCTCATCACTTGTCTGTTTGATATGTACTGATATTGTAAGGAGAAATCCTTTCTTGGTCACTCATGGGAGTTTAAGGGTTAAGCATTAGGTTAACCACAACAGTCCATCAGAAGACTGATAAATATATGGACCTGAAGGTTTTGCACATGCAGGTGCCCACATTCAAGCAGATTTTAATGGTAAAATAGAGGGCTTCTGTTGTTTTTGAAAACCAAGCTCCATTTTTAATATCTACTGTTCCCCTTGTAGCAATGGCTGCTTAGTGATGAAATGTGTGTTTTAATCATATGTTGTTTGGTCTGTAGGTAGAGATTAACTTGCTGTTTATGATGTCCTACTTACCCCCTGGTTTGTTTGATCGCTTACGTGTTCGCTGCTGTTCACTGGGATTTGACTTTTACAACTGGAAAGATCACTTGCTGTTGTTTGGGAATTATGAAAGAATCCTGATTCATAAACATAGTTACCCTGCAGGAGCTGATTCAAGCTCACCAGCCATTTACATCAAAGGAAGAGGGATAAAGGCAGAATTAAATTCACTATGGAAAATTCTTTTGAACATTTTTGAGGTAAAGTCTGTGTATGAAATTACTTTGCACAGCTGTCAAACCTTCTACCTGTTTTCAAAGCATTAAGCAAACAGTGTGGTACTCTCATGCTTGATTTGATTATGATGCATTGCCAATACCAAAACTGCCTCCCTCTTACAGTATTTATTTAGGTTTTGCTGAAAGTTTGCTGGAACCAGTCACATTTCTGTGAGGAGAAAGGCCCTCTAATTATCACCCTGACCAAGGCTTAAACCCCAGTATGTGTTGGCCATTAAGCCTCTGTATCTCCTGAAAAAATAATTGGCTAGATGTAACAGAATAGGTGGCATAGTCCTCTTGAAGGTAGAGGGTGAAAGTCCAAATTAAAAACTTTTCTTGTCTTCTTTTGGGAAAGAAATTTC